TTGGAATGTCATTAATTAGGATAATGTGATTTAGATAGGTCCACTTTAGGAAAAAATGGTCACGATTACATTGACTACATGAACTATAGGATCCCAGGAGGAAAAACTGTCAGAGAAAGAAAAGGAGAAGATATAATATTGACTGTATTAATGAAATTGTGCCCGTTAATAACTCTGAAAGTGTCATAATTTTTTATGAAGCAGTGACAATAATTTATAAATTCTTATTGATTTTGACTTATAGTCAAAATAGTGATACGTCTCAGATTCATGAGTAGATTCCCATTTATTTTCTTTAAAGATTAGTTTCTGAAAGCAGATAATGGCAATAGTATTTGTTCTTCTACTAATCCTTTTCACTTATAATGCCCAGCACAAAGGGGTTCTGTTCTATGATTGAGAATACAGGGCTATCATCTAAAGCATAATTTTTCCTTCCAGTCTGTTGATCCATGAACCAACTCTTGCTCCGAGCCACGAAGGAACATAAAATGCACCCCAGATCAGTCTGACAACCTTTTTTGCACAATACATTTCTGCTTTAATTTTGTTCAACCAAATGTAACATCTACAATTTCATGCTATGTTGTGAAAAACTGATAGATATCAGAACTGCAATGCCCATGTTGTTTGATGTTAATTCTACCCTCTTCTCTTAATTCTTTCATTTTATCCTGGATGGTTTAAGATGGACAGAATCCAAGTCCTTTAGTCTGTAATGTCTTAATTCTCCTCATGATATATTCTGAAATCATGTGCTACAGTTGTGTAGTTCTGGAAACTCCTACATTCTTATTGTCTGCTGATGCCCATTCTACCACTTCATTTACTGTATATTTCCTAGTAATTTACAGTCTTCTTATCTCACTTCAGTAGGCAATTAAATATTCAATTTTTAGTGTTAGTTATTTATGGTTAGTTATAAACTATTGTTAGTCAGGATTCAATTTGAGATTCAGGCAGGTGTGATATGCTAGATATCCAAACTCTCATCATAGAGATGGTGATATATTCAACAAAGTCAGTGGAGACAGGAGGGCAACTCAGCTACAACTGCTTGTAGATCCATTAGTTTCCCCTACAGAGGTGCTACTGGCTGTGGGAAGAGCTGTGTCTCCAAAAAGATGGGAATGTCTCATGTCTGCTGTCATGTCTGCTGTAATGTCTGCCAGAAACATGTGGATGTCTCAGGCACCCTTAAGGCACCTCAAACAGCCCCAGGCACCTGCATTTAAGCAAGTGAATGTATCCCAATATACTCTGTTAGCTACTGTGGGACACATACATTTAGATATCTTAATCTTGAACTAAATCCCACAGTTTTTACTACCAAGAAAAAGACAAATTCTTATTCGAGTTCTGACATTAACATTTACATAAAGGATAATAATGTCAACGTGCTTCTTGAATCTCAGAAGAGAACAGTGTTGTGGTTTAGGAATGGTATTCCCCAATTTAGTGTTCCCGCTGAAACACTCCAAACCACGTGCTGTTCCATCAGTCCCACTCCCCCTCTCCCTCCCCATCATCCCCAGCATCAGGCTGGAGAGGAGGATTGAAGGCACAGAAGGTAAAAATGATGGGCTGAGATAAGAACAATTTACAGGAAACAGCAATGAGATAACAGACTGAATAGTCACAGCAACAATAATAATGACAAGGGCTACAAGAAAGAGGCAAACTATTCACATGAAACCCCTCCAACAACTCCCTCCACCACACTACTTGACTTGGAAGAGAGCTCTTCCCCCATTCCTGAAAAATGGTGTGAGGTGGTATAGAATAACCTCTGGGTCCTGGCCAAGCCCCCTCCTGGCTACTGCAAAAACTAATCCTGTCCTGGACAACCGGTAAACCAGTAGCACACTGTATTAGCTATGTTTTGGAAAACGTTGTAAAGAAACTATTATATATTCTATTTTTCCACAGTACACACAAAGCAAAAATTTGCATTGATTAATATTATCCTTTTACTACTGTTACGTTTTATAATCTGTGCAGATCTTTCAGTGCGTGGCAGTGGTATGGGTTTCAGTTTTAAACCACAATGCCTTATTTAACTCCTTCAGGATCACACTTTTTTTTTTTTTTTAATTTTGGTTTTGAAGATTTTGAGGGACCAATCAACACTTTCTCTGGGCTGCTACTCTGCAGGGAAAATGATCTGGAATGCTATCATTTTTCACAGTTGCTATCATTAATACGCCAGGTTACTTTTTACTCTCATAGTGTCTTCCATGAGGTCTCCTTTTTAATTTATTAATGAATAAACTTTTGCAACTAATGTCTATTTTAAATATAGCATAAATAAAGAGGTAAAATCTCAAAGATCACTCAGATTCAGGAAAAGATATTTGTACAGAGTTACATGTATGTAGGAAAACATATAGGATGTGAACTACATTGAAACAGTCTCATTTTCTGTATTATTGAAATAAGATACTATCCAGTTTCCATTCAGTCTAGTAGATGGGTAAGAGTTTTAGGATGTTAACATTTCATCTGGATTTATTTTCCGATTGTTAAATATTATCTGACCATTTCCCTCCATCTTTGCTCATATTTCAAGGAGTAGTATTTATAACAGCAAGTAATATGGCAGTTAAAATTCAAACTGAATTTAATATTATTCATTTAGACTATTTATTTCTTTATAATTCAAAAAACTCACCCTCAGATGCCCAGCTCAGCAATAGAAAGGATATTTAGAGACTGATTCACAAGGTTCAAAAAGGACCCCCTCGCTTTCTAAATTCCTTCTTGGAGAGGAGCCTTGGTGAGGCTGGATCCACTCCTAGTCCCAGACCTGGCAAATGGTCTGAAGGATTATATACACACCATCAGTCCTTCATACCACTTAGCTAAGATTTCAAAATTTTACACGCTATGAATCCCTTACTGAGAATCTGTTGTGTTAAGGAATCTCTCAACTTTCAGGAGTAACCCTGGGAGGCATCCCTACTCAAGAGTAGATACTGGTGTGCAGCTTCACAGAATGACAGAATCACAAAATATGCTAAGTGTATTTTAATTTAATATATTTTAATTTAGAGTATTTGAGGAGTGCCCATAGGCATTGATTACTGAGTAAGCAGCTCTTCTTTCTAAACTATAAATAAAACACATATGCCAAGTAACTAGGTATCAGACTCTGATGGAACAAAACCTAGGAAATTAAATTCATGGATATGTTATAGTCAAGATAATAAAAGGATCTTTTTCCATTTTGGTTTCTAAGTTTTCTTCCATTTAGAAACATTTCTGAAAATAGATAAATTCCAATCAGTGTATGAAACTAGATACTGACTCTTTTAGAACATAACAGGTGTTATAAAAACATTTAATCACAGAAATATGCATCTGAGAGAACTGGTCATCATTCTACTCAAGTGGGAGAAATAAAGCATACTACAGAATGCAGGAATACATGAATATAAATTCAAGACAATTTTACTTTGTCTTTAAGGCTGAAATATTGGACTTTCACACTACAGCTGATGTAAATTTCTTTAGTAAAATGGTCATGAGGAAAAAAGTAAATCTGAATCTGACATGAAATCTGATAGACTATGATATATCTGTTTTTTAAATTTGTGATCGTGACAGACTGTATCTAAAATATATTTGTCAAAGAAATATCAAAGATTATTAATAATTCTTGAACTTTCACTTGGTGATTAAAACAAAAAGCATCATAAGGCCCTTTAAAAAACAACAATTACATTCCATGGTCATTATGACCAACATTGTTTTTATGATTCCTTATGTTTAATGAGCAGTAGCTACAATTTGTGCTTGCAGCTGTAACTCACACTTTGCCTCGGTTCTAGTCACCCATTTGTCTTTTCTTTTTCTCTTTGGCTGAAAGTGCAGGTATTCCATGTAAATGAGAGTTCACTGTTAAGCAAGGAGAGTTGATGCCACTGTGGCTGTTCAAATACAAATATGATGGAAAAATCTTCCCATTCCTGGTGTGGGATTTTTCAACATATTTTTGTTGCTTTTCTTTCAAAGTGAACAGTGCACTGCAAATACAGCTCTCATGTGGTGTTGGTGGGATATACACTGATAAACACCCTGCTAATGGCATTGGATATATCCTAGGATTAACTTTACACTGTGGGAAAATGTGCAAATTTCACATCTTTGTTTGTCTGTTTATTTGTGCCCTTTTATAGGCACCCAAGCATCATGAACTGTGAATAATAACTAGACAAGCATTCGTTGTATAAATTCAAAACAACACAGAGCTCTTTAAGCATCCAGTAAACATACCATAGCTACCAAGGTGTGCAATGCAACTTTTGCTTGTTGAAATACATCCGGATGATAAGGTTGGAACTTTTTCTGCCCTATATATAAAGTGAGGCCTAGAAATCAGAATACTAGGTGGTTCAACTACAATGACACAACTATGAAAGTTCTCTCACCTCGCAGGTGGGGACAATCTCTCATGTGGTTTCAAGGATATTCCCACCAAATTTAGCATGTCCTCAAAATGTCAAAAGCAGCAAGTAAGTTTAGAGGTCACCCCCCCACACACACTGTGGAATAAAACAGATTAGGCTGTCAGCAATTCAATTTGAGCTAAGAAAAACTGGGAACATTTTCAGTCCCCACTCACCAGCTATTTCTGTAAAAGTGTTGGATGAGATCCTTAAAAAAATGTTCATAGGGATCTTCAGCTAAGTTGAAGAAATGTGTTCACATTAATTTCAATACTCCTGCAGAGTTCAATTCAGCTGGAAAGCCCCCCAGAGGAGAGATTTCGTCAATGAAAACAGGTTTTTGGAAGGACAAATTAAAACTACACTCGCATTAAGTTTTTGTAATCCCTAATGGCAATTTGACTTGTGGTTAGCAGGGTACTTATCTTCATTTTCATCATCATCAGAGTTAGTCATGCCTTGTTCTGATACTGATAATTAGGACAACTAACTAAGACAAGCTCTTCTCCCCCTGATTATTTGTTGCATCAAAGCACCATTCTTTTCTAACAGGTGGGGGTCATTACCTGACAAAAAAGGACAGAAACAGAAGTTTTGGGTAAGTGAATCCTTAGGACTGTGTTTTGAGGTAGAAAAAAAGATCTTTACAACACAGATCATCTAAAAGCTAATTCTTTACTTTCATTCACTCTCTCTGCATCTATTTTTTTTCCTTCACCTGAAAGTGTCCTGCATAATTCTATTCCCTCTATGGCAACTTCTATCATGCTGACCCTTGGACTATAGTATCATCTATCTCTATTTCAAAGCCTGTTTCATCCCACCTATATCTGTTTTTTCCTGCACTGTCTTTTCTGTTTCAATGCTATTAAATTTTTCCATGAAGAGTCTGTTCTTTTTGATGTCTGCAAATGAGACTGAATAAAAGTAATCAACAATATTTGTTAAAACATTTACAAAAAGACAAATTGTCTATTTAAACAATGTTAGTAATTGCTGTCCAGCTATCAGGAAAAAAACCCAAACCCAAAACCAACCAACCAAAGAACATTTCCTTTAAGCCATTTAGAGTAAGTCAAATTTAATCACTTGGATTAACAGCTCATCTCATTATTCCTGTGTTCATCAAAAGTAATTTGGAGTTTACATAGCTGATGGCAGAGCTTATGGTAGTAGTTTCACTGGCAAAAAATACTGAGAACTTCTGGCTTCATCAGAAACTAAATTTCTCAATATGTCAATAGCTACCTCAATGAAACTTTATTAAGATATCTTTTTTTTTTTCGTATCTTTGGTTTCTCTTTAAGAGATTAGTTGTAATTGGTATTGTGACTATTATTGTTTCAATGTCCTCTTTCAGCAGCCAATAGTCAAATTTTTGTCTCATATTTTCTGCTTCAATTTATCAAACTTTCTCATAGAAATAATATTCTCTTTTTATTAACCCTGATTTCAGAACAGAAACTTTGATCACAGCAAAATGGAACAAATTACAAGATATCAGAAAAAGATGCATGCTGATTTTCAGAGCACCAAATCTGAGAAACTCGGTTTCTTAAAAAGGAAACTAACACAAAAATTGATTTTGTATTTTACACTTTGCATTTTTAAATACTACTTTAAAATGAAAGCTGATAAGTTTTTTTTTCTGCTTTGTTTACTTTTAGATCGCTGCAAATTCCTGGGGAAAATCTTGGGGAGAAAATGGTTATTTTAGGATTCTACGTGGACAAAATGAGTGCGATATTGAGAAGCTGATTTTAGCTACTTTGGGAGAGCCATAGTCTATCTGTACCAAACACTGATGTATCTATTCTTTCCATTGTTGCATGTTGAGTCTTCCTAGAGAAATAAAATGTCTTCTCCTTAAGTTACCTTTCTATTAGCCCTCATTAGGTCTTCCTGACATGAACACACTGCAGACACCACATCATGCTGTTGCTAATCCTGATTTGCTTGCAAGATCTTCCTAAAATCTGGGCTCTAATGTTAAGTTTCTTCAGTGAGGAAAAAGTGCAAAACTACTCTCCTAGATTTCTTTCTGATCAAATGATCATCTTGGCTTAAACAAAACACCCCATGCAAGTGAAACAAATCCCATCATATCAAAGCAATTGAATGGTTTGAAAAGTGATGTTGCTCTACCCACCCTCTCGGATTAACCTTCTGTGACTGTACCTTTAGGTTGTTATGTATATGGGATATGCCATTTTTTTATTATTCCAAGTGTATAAAAATGAGCATCTGGCATACTGATGGTGTGCCAGTTTTGTGGATTCATCACCTGTGAAGATATGAAATAAACAAATCATGTTTATTGACCTTGACTCTGTGTTGGATCAGCTTCTTGCCCAGAGGTTGAAAGAACCCATATTTGGGACAATACTCTGACTGATGTATATGCTCAATGCCCTTTCCATACTCTCTCAGTATCATAAAGCTGCCATTTGTAGATATGCAACAGTACCTGGAATTTAACAAATCTCTATCTGGAAGACAATTTGCTCTTTAAAAACAACCTTGATTCTGTGGCAGCTATTAGGATACTATTCAGAGCACAAGCGAAGAGTCTTCTGCCAGTGCAGGTCTTCTCACAGTGTTGAAGAGACACTGGGGCCTTGGAGCCACCAGTGGCTCTGCCTCACACAGACTACCTGAAGACAGATTTTTAAATATCAGAAGGGCTTTGATTTTTTCTAGTTCACTATTTGGTTGGAGTGTGAGGAAACTTGTTCTTCATTAAGATGCCACCTCTCTCATTTCTCTTCTTTTTTTTTTTTGATCTCTCCATCACTAATACTCAGCTATGCCTGCTAGCATGGACTAAAAGTGTCATCTAGCCTAGAGATTTTTCCTGAATGAATATAAAGGAATAATATGTGGCTCAGGTTAATTCAATAGACAGCTCATCAGCTTTAAAAAACTAATATTACTGATGGTCCGTGGGAAATGCAGAAAGGAAGGGAAATTCCAGGAAAGGAAGGCAGTGCAGGAATAACCTTTGTGTTTGTGACACAGAGGAAATGTCTTTTTCCATAAAATCAGGAAGGTAACATTTTTATAGCAAGCAAAAAAAATAAATCTCCACTCGGATTACACATACATCGTGTTAAAAACATGCTATATGAAGTTTTGAATAGCTGTCGGTTTAATGGAGAAATGTTAAATCTGGGTCTATCTAGAGGAATGTATGTTCTGCAACCTGGGACCTGATGGTACGCTACCTAATGTAAAACTTTCTGTCTTAATTCCTATATATTGAGAAACAGTTTCAGACAGAACTCTGAATAGAAATAGATAAGAACTTGGAGAGAGTTTGAATCTTCCCAATATTAACTGAGCAGAACAGGCGTCTTTTGCAGTTTGTATTGATCAACCAGGGCTTTCCTACAATCAGATCCTAAATGTTACTGATAGTATCTAATAGATGACAACTGTTAAAACCATTTGAAATGGCTTTAAGTGAAATTAATTTTAAAATTGAAATAGCTAACTAGCCAATAAAGGAACCCAGTTATTTTCACACTATTTTTATATTTTTGCTATCCTATTATTATAGAAACATTGTCTATTTGTTAAATGATAGTAAATCTCACTTCAAAGATTTCCACAGAAAGCACTATCAATACCCATTAATATTCTGAGTGAGTAGTTTTGTTTAGATAGGGGTGCATGGTAATCGCTGAATTTCTGAAGGCAATTGATCTGCTGAGAGGACTGAATCACCGGCAACTGCCTCTACACCTGGCCCCAGTAAGAGATTTTGAGAGCGCTGAAAGGCACAGAAAACTCCTCTCCACCTTACTAGCAATCACTGCACACAACTTGGCAAGACCAGCTTTCTCCAGCTGAATGATGTTTGCTTATCACCATTAGGAAGTCTGAAAAATTGGTGACACTTGCCAAATAGGGATTTTAATTTCATTTTGCTATTTCAGAATCAATAATTTTACACTGGAATCCTCAGTGATTTAGAGTTCTTGGAGTACTTGAAGCCATGGACTGCCTCAGGCTCTATATGAAACATATTAGGATTAGCTGGAGGTTTCACTCAGCAGGATAATTTTCTGCTCCAGCTGGTAAATGAGCCTAACAGACATGAGGCTCCGCTAGACCTGCTGTTCACAAACAGAGAGGGGCTGGTGGGAGATGTGGTGGTCAGAGGCTGTCTGGGGCACAGTGACCATGAAATAATAGTTTTCAATGCTCAGGGATGCAAAGAGGGCCATCAATAAAACGTCTACCCTGGACTTCCACAGGGCAGATTTCGGCCGATCCAACCAAAAGACTGGTTCAGAGAATACCTTGGGAAACAGCCCTTGAAAACAAAGGGGTCCAGGAGGGATAGACATGCTTCAAGAAGGAAGTCTTGAATGCACAGGAGCAGGCTGTCCCGGTCTGCCGAAAGGCAAGTCGGCAGAGAGGACAGACAGCCTGGCTGAATAGGGAGATTTTCAAGGAAATTAGGGGAAAAAAGAGAGCCTACTGATTATGGTAAAAAGGGCTGACTACTCATGAAGAGTTTAGGAAGATAGTTGGGTCATGTAGAAAGAAAATTAGAGAGACAAAGGCACACTTTGAACTCAATCTAGCCACTTCTGTTAGGGATAACAAGAAGTGCTTCTACAAATACATTAATAACAAAAGGAGGGGCAAGGAAAACCTCCATTCTTTGTTGGACATGGGGGGGAACATAATCACCAAAGATAAGGAAAAGGCTGAGGTACTTAACACCTTCTTTTCTTCAGTTTTCAACAGTAAGACAGGTTGTCCTCAGGACAATTGGCCTCCAGAGCTGGTAGACAGAGACAGGAAGCTGAAAAGCTTGCCCATAATCCAGGAGGAAAGAGTTAACGACCTGCTGAGCCACTTGGATCCTCATAAGTCTATGGGACCAGATGGGATCCATCCTAGGGTGATGAGGGAGCTGGCGGAAGAGCTCACCAAGCCCCTCCATCATTTACGAACAGTTCTGGCTCACTAGGGAGGTCCCAGATGACTGGAAGTTGGTGAATGTCACACCAATCCACAAAAAGGGCTGCAAGGAGGACCTGGGAAACTACAGGTCTGTCAGCCTGACCTCAGTGCCTGGCAAATTTATGGAGCAGATCATCCTAAGTGCAATCACGCAGCACCTGCAGGATGGACAAGGGATCAGATCCAGCCAGCATGGGTTTTAGGAAGGGCAGGTCCTGTCCTACCAACTTGATCTTCTTTTATGACCAGGTGACCTGCCAGGTGGATGAGGGGAAGGCTGTGGATGTGGTCTACCTAGACTTCAGCAAAGCCTTTGACACTGTCTCCCATAGCATACTCCTGAAAAAGCTGGCAGCCCACGGCTTGGACAGGGGCACCCTGTGCTGGGTCAGGAACTGGCTGGAGGGCCGGGCCCAGAGAGTGGTGGTAAACGGTGCTGCATCCAGTTGATGGCCAGTCACTAGTGGTGTCCCCCAGGGATCAGAGTTGGGTCCAGTTCTGTTTAATATCTTTACTGATGATCTGGATGAGGGGATTGAGTGTACCACTAGCAAATTTGCAGATGATGCCATGTTGAGGGGGAGTGTACATCAGCTGGAAGGAAGGAGGGCTCTTCAGAGGGACCTGGACAAGCTGGAGAAATGGTCTGATTCCAATGGGATGAGGTTCAACAAGGCCAAGTGCCGGATCCTGCACTTTGGCCACAACAACCCCCTGCAGCGCTACAGGCTGGGCACAGAGTGGCTGGAGAGCAGCCAGGCAGAAAGGGAGCTGGGAGTTTGGATTGACAGGAAGCTGAACAGGAGCCAGCAGCGTGCCCAGGTGGCCAAGAAGGCCAATGGTATCTTGGCCTGGATCAGGAACAGTGTGGCCAGCACTGGGAAGGGAAGTGATTCTCCCAGTACTCAGCACTGGTGAGGCCACACCTCGAGTCCTGTGTCCAGTTCTGGGCCCCTCAGTTCAGGAAGGATATTGAGGTGCTGGAGCAGGTCCAGAGAAGAGCAACAAGGCTGGTGAAGGGACTCAAGCACAAGTCCTATGAGAAGATGCTGAGGGAGCTGGGGTTGTTTAGCCTGGAGAAGAGGAGGCTCAGGGGAGACCTCATCACTCTCTACAACTACCTGAAAGGATGTTGTAGCCAGGTGGGGATCAGTCTCTTCTCCCAGGCAACCAGCAGTTGGATGAGAGGGCACAATCTTAAACTCTGCCAGGGGAAGTTTAGGTTGGATATTAGGAAGAAATTTTTTATGGAGAGAGTAATCAGATATTGGAATGGGCTGCCCAGGGAGGTGGTGGATTCACCGTCCCTGGAGGTTTTTAAGATGAGACTGGATGCGGCACTTAGTGCCATGGTCTCGTAACTATGGCAATGTTGGATCAAAGGTTGGACTTGATGATCTTGGAGGTCTTTTCCAACCTGGTTGATTCTATGATTCCATTGCAAAACTCTGAAGACTATCCTCTTTTATTTCCCTCTGTAGTAAAACCAATATAAAAACCCCAGTTTAATGCATTACATCTATCAGATCATGATACACAGCACAATGTTTTATCAAGGAAAAATTTCAGGAAACTTATGAGTAAAAGACAAATATTTAGCCCTAGTGTGCTGTACTCTCATAGTGTGAAGGACTCATGTGATGGTCCAAATTCATCAGCAATACTGCTATTGAATATAAGGGTAATACTGTTATCACTTATAGAATCACAGGATCATTTAGATCAGAAAAGACCTTTAAGATCACCAAGTCCAACTGTTAACCTAATACTGACAAATCCCTAACTGCCAAATCCTTAAGTGCCACATCTACAGGTTATTTAAATACTTCCAGGGATGGTGACTCAACCAAAGGTTTCCCTGGGCAGGGAAACCTTTCTGTGAAAGGTCTTGAGAAACCTTTCAGTGACAAAATTATTCCTAATATCCAATCTAAACCTCCCCTGGCACAACTTGAGGTCTTTTCTGCTTGTCCTATCACTTCTTCTTTGGGAGAAAAGACCAAGCCCCACCTTGTGATGAAGTGCCCCTTGAGCCTCCTTTTCTTCAGGCTAAACGACCCCAATTTCCTCAGCCTCATAAGACTTGTACTCCAGCCAAAGGACTTCTCTTCATCAAGAAACTTGCAAGCAGTGAAACTGGAAAATAAAAGTTTTAGAACCTGCGTATATCTTCTTTTTCACTCTACGCAAGAAGTTTTTTAAAAGTATTCTACACTCCTAGCTAGCATGATCCACAGCCTGTGAAAAACTGTATTAAAAATGTGACCTCAATAGAACCCAAATTGCTGAAGTTTTTGGAAATC